CGTGTTATGAATTGACCATTTGAGCCCAACGGGAAAAAACACACAGAAGAGGAACCCAGATATAAAATCAGCAACCGGTGATAAGTTTCACAGTGTTTTTCATTAAGGAAAAAACTGTTGGCTATCTGTTTCGTTCATTCAAGAAGAATATGTCGCATTTCAGCACCGGAATTTGAAAACAGTCTCCGTATACATTTCAGTTTCTAATTCCATGTAGCTTCTTCAATTTCAACCCCCAATTTATTTATAATTCGGGATTTAATACCAACTATGTTTTAGATTTGAGAATCGACGTGTTATGAATTGACCATTTGAGCCCAACGGAAAAATCGCACAGAAAAGGAACCCAGATATAAAATCAGCAACCGGTGATAAGTTTCACAGTGTTTTTCATTAAGGAGAAAACTGTTGGCTATCTGTTTCGTTTATTCAAGAAGAATATGTCGCATTTCAGCACCGGAATTTGAAAAGAGTTTTCGTATACATTTCAGTTTCTAATTCCATGTAACTTCTACAATTTCAACCCCCAAGTTATTTATAATTTGTGATCAAATACCAACTATGTTTTCGATTGAAGAATCAACGTGTTATGAATTGACCATTTAAGCCTAACGGTAAAATCGCAGAGAGAAGGAGAATCGGAGAGAGAAGAGGGACCCAGATATAAAATCATCAACCGGTGATGAGTTTCACAGTGTTTTTCATCAAGGAGAAAACTGTTGGCTATCTGTTTCGTTCATTTAAGAAGAATATGTCGCATTTCAGCACTGGAATTTGAAAACAGTTCTCGTATACATTTCAATTTCTTATTCCATGTCATTTCTACAATTTCAACCCCCAATTTATTTATAATTCGAGATTGAATACCAACTATGTTTTATATTGAAGAATCAACGTGTTATGAATTGACCATTTGAGCCCAACGGAAAAATCGCACAGAAGAGGAACCCAGGCATAAGATCAGCAACCGGTGATAAGTTTCCCATTCCTGTGTCGTATTCAATTCAAATAGAATATTTTTTTGAAATCAATTATTTGTTATGGAAGGCGATATATCATAGAAAATGTTTCAGTAGTCACCTTTATGTCTCCATGGAGACACGGCAGGTACCCTTACGAGGGGAGAGTATCAACCCTTGGCGTCGGTAAACCCTCGTTGCAACCGAGGTAGGCGCCTGGTGGGTTAGGTATATACAGTGTTTTTCATTAAGGAGAAAACTGTTGGCAATCTGTTTCGTTCATTCTAGACGCATATGTCGCATTTCAGCACCGGAATTCGAAAGAGTTTTCGTATACTTTTCAGTTTCTTATTCCATGTAACTTCTACAATTTCAACCCTCAATTCATTTATAATTCAAGATTTAATACCAACTATGTTTTAGATTGAAGAATCAACCTGTTATGAATTGACCATTTAAGCCCAACGGAAAAATTGCACAGAAAAGGAATCCAGAAATGAAATCAGCAACTGGTGATAAGTTTCACAGTGTTTTTCATTAAGGAGAAAACTGTTGGCTATCTGTTTTGTTCATTTGAGAAGAATATGTCGCATTTCAGCACCGGAATTTTTAAAGTTTTCATATACATTTCAGTTTCTTATTCCATGTAACTTCAAAATTTCGACCCCCAATTCATATTTAAATCGAGATTCAATGCTAACTATGTTTTAGGTTGAAGAATTAACGTGTTATGAATTGACCATTCAAGCCCAACGGAAAAATCGCACAGAAGAGGAATCCAGACATAAAATCAGCAACTGGTGATGAGTTTCCCATTCCTGTGTCGTATTCAATTCATATAGAATATTTTTTCAAAATAAATTATTTGTTATGGAAGGCGATATATCGTAGAAAATGTTTCAGTAGTCACCTTTATGTCTCCATGGAGACACGATAGGTACCCTTACGAGGGGAGAGTATCAACCCTTGGCGTCGGTAAACCCTCATTGCAAGCGAGGTAGGCGTCTTGTGGGTTAGGTATACACAGTGTTTTTCATTAAGGAGAAAACTGTTTCGTTCATTCAAGAAGAATATGTCGCATTTCAGCACCGGAATTTGAAAAAAGTTTTCGTAAACATTTCAGTTTCTTATTCCATGTAACTTCTAGAATTTCAACCCTCAATTCATTTATGATGGGAGATTCAATACCAACTATGTTTTAGAGTGAAGATTCAACCTGTTATGAATTGATGACCATTTAAGCCCATGGAAAAATTCGCATTATCGTTATATTATTGATAAACTTCGGAACTTGGGAGCTGGAAGTCACAGGTAAAGTCCATAATATGAGAAACATCTTCCTTAGGACCCAATGTTATGAACTTCCACAGATGCGTCCTGAAAATTAATAACTAGCTAGTTTTTTTCTTTCAAAGAGGTGCAAACATAGTCTACATAAAATCAGCAACCGGCGATACGTTTCGTTCATTTAAGAAGAATATGTCGCATTTCAGCACCGGAATTTGAAAACAGTCTCCGTATACATTTCAGTTTCTAATTCTGTGTAACTTCTTCAATTTCAACCCCCAATTTATTTATAATTCGAGATTTAATACCAACTATGTTTTAGATTGAAGAATCAACGTGGTATGGTGGGTCAGGTATATACAGTGTTTTTCATCAAGGAGAAAACTGTTGGTTATCTGTTTCGTTCATTTAAGAAGAATATGTCGCATTTCAGCACTGGAATTTGAAAACAGTTCTCGTATACATTTCAATTTCTTATTCCATGTCATTTCTACAATTTCAATCCCCAATTTATTTATAATTCGAGATTAAATACCAATTATGTTTTAGATTGAAGAATCAACGTGTTATGAATTGACCATTTGAGCCCAACGGAAAAATCGCACAGAAGAGGAACCCAGGCATAAGATCAGCAACCGGTGATAAGTTTCCCATTCCTGTGTCGTATTCAATTCAAATAGAATATTTTTTCAAAATCAATTATTTGTTATGGAAGGCGATATATCATAGAAAATGTTTCAGTAGTCACCTTTATGTCTCCATGGAGACACGGCAGGTACCCTTACGAGGGGAGAGTATCAACCCTTGGCGTCGGTAAACCCTCGTTGCAACCGAGGTAGGCGCCTGGTGGGTCAGGTATATACAGTGTTTTTCATTAAGGAGAAAACTGTTGGCTATCTGTTTCGTTCATTCTAGACGCATATGTCGCATTTCAGCACCGGAATTCGAAGAGAGTTTTCGTATACTTCTCAGTTTCTTATTCCATGTAACTTCTACAATTTCAACCCTCAATTCATTTATAATTTAAGATTTAATACCAACTATGTTTCAGATTGAAGAATCAACCTGTTATGAATTGACCATTTGAGCCCAACGGAAAAATTGCACAGAAAAGGAACCCAGAAATAAAATCAGCAACTGGTGATAAGTTTCACAGTGTTTTTCATTAAGAAGAAAAATGTTGGCTATCTGTTTCGTTCATTTGAGAAGAATATGTCGCATTTCAGCACCGGAATTTTAAAAATTTTCATATACATTTCAGTTTCTTATTCCATGTAACTTCAAAATTTCGACCCCCAATTCATTTATCGAGATTCAATGCCAACTATGTTTTAGGTGTGTTATGAATTGACCATTCAAGCCCAACGGAAAAATCGCACAGAAGAGGAATCCAGACATAAAATCAGCAACTGTTGATGAGTTTCCCATTCCTGTGTCGTATTCAATTCATATAGAATATTTTTTCAAAATCAATTATTTGTTATGGAAGGCGATATATCATAGAAAGTGTTTCAGTAGTCACCTTTGTGTCTCCATGGAGACACGATAGGTACCTTTACGAGGGGAGAGTATCAACCCTTGGCGTCGATAAACCCTCATTGCATGCGAGGTAGGCGTCTGGTGGGTTAGGTATACACAGTGTTTTTCATGAAGGAGAAAACTGTTTCGTTCATTCAAGAAGAAAAATCGCATTATCTTTACATTATTGATGAACTTCGGAACTTGGGAGCTGGAACTCATAGGTAATGTCCATAATATGAGAAACATCTTCCTTAGGACCCAATGTTATGAACTTCCACAGATGCGTTCTGAAAATTAAGGTATCTATGTGTATTCTTATTTTCCTTCAAGGATCAGTATTTCTTGGGGTGATTTTGCACTTATCATGTGATGTTTTTTTTTTCGAAAAAAAAACCATAACATGATAAGTGCAAAATTACCTTTGTTGGTAGCAAATGCTAAGGAAATGAAAATATACTGGGTACAGCATCTGGTTTCAATAACCTAGCAGTACCTACCTAGTATGTTTGAATGAATAATCAGTTGGCAGGAAATGCTCTCCACAAAGCTTGCTTCACACTTACACCAATCTCCTCGCACTAGGTCGCCTACTAGGTTTTTATTTAGATCGACAATGCACCAACAAATTCAGTCCTTTTTATAAAACAAAACACGCCAAATGAATAGATATTTCACATTAACAAAGACAATGAACTTATGTCTCCACTTTCTTGCCTGTTTAGATGTGAGAAAAAAAATCTAAGGATCTGTAGGATCTGTCCGTACCCTGTGAAATGTTTATAGGCATCTTGGCATCTTAGTACCCTCACCCTGTTAAGATGACTTTAACGTCAATTTCCATCAAGGAACTCTAGCTTAGCGGAGTTCGGCCAACAATCGCGTGCGGAAAATTCATTTTGCGCTCGTGTTTCTTTCTGTGTGTTTTCTTTCAACTAGGGTTCGGAAAAATCCTAACTCTTTTTGTCCGCACTCATTTAACTTTTAAATTTTTTCCACACTAGTGCGGAAAAGTGACTATTTCAACAGTAAAATGATCGCGGAAAAGTGGACTCTTCCGCATTCTAATAGAGGAAATAAAACTACTACATTCATAACTTCATCAGAGATAAGTTACCCGTCAACATCTCCGTTACCTGCTTTCATAACCTTTATGAATGAAGCCAACTACCCTCTCTACCCATTCCTACTCCGAGAGTCTCTGTCAACTGTCAAGCTTAGATGTCAATGTCAGATGACTACGACATAATGGCTGCCGTTTATTTGTAGTGTTAAATTAACGTTTACTCGTGTCAAGTTTTCGGTTTTCGAGTGTTTTTTCTGAATATATACATAGATTTTAAGCTATCTATTTCAACATTATTTTCTGCTAGGTAATCTTATGGATACTGATATATTTCTTGTCGGTTTCTTATGATCCTACATATTTTTATCCCTTTGTCTAACAAAGCAATTTTATTAATTGTTTGATTAAGCTATTTATTATGTGTTTTATTGATATTATTACTCATACACCACAAATTCTTGCTAGCAGTATTTCTTGACATTACGGAATTTCAAACTAGAAATCTAGCTACTTTTATTCATTTGCAGATCCAAAATGTCAGCTGGACCATACAATTATTCTTATATCTTTAAATACATCATAATAGGAGATATGGGGGTGGGAAAATCATGTCTCCTTCATCAATTCACAGAGAAAAAGTGTAAGTATCCATTCCATAATATAGTGAATATTTCATTAAAATTATCCCCTGTAACCTCATGTAGGTTTGCCAGATAAATCATCAACTTTGTAATATGTATACAGGGTGGGGCATTTTATATTATGCTGCATGGTCGGTTTTGATGTGCATGGAACTAGACCATGACCTTGCTGAAGTGATTTTATCGGATCAAGGCTATAACAAAGTTTATCTACACAGTTAAAGGTGGTTTCATAGTATCATCCCAGTTATCATCATAGTGGTAATGTCAAGGGTAATGACAATGATTTTTTTATGAAACCACCTCAAGTTGGTTATATACATAATGCTGGGTTTATAGATTCAATAACAATAATTAGGAATTATCAATTAACAATCAACAATTAATAATCATGAGAGTGTTTATACATTTTTGATATTAATTAAGAATTAATTGTGAGATGTCTTTTGATTAAAGATTAAAATGATCTAAAAAAGTGATGTTGGTTTCCACTATTCATGAATCCATAATAAATATTCCAATTTGATATCACCAAACTCAACTTGAACAATAACAAATCCAATATTCATGTTCTGTCACCAGAATTTCATAATTCTTAGTTGTTAAGTTGAAAGTTGGCCAACTTTGTAGTTCTTAATTCTTGATTTAAATGACAGATATAAATGTATAAACCCTCATAAATGTTTCCTTGTATTCAACTTTTTTAGTTCATGGTTGTTAGTTTAATTCTTAGTTTAATTGAATTTATAAACCCAGCATTAGTAATAAGTGCTATTTAATGTAGTTTTTCATATAAGGAGGTTTGAGATTAAGTAAAATACATAAGATTTCTGCAGGTATGGGATGTATTCTTATATTTTGACCTTGACCCCTACCTACAGCTTCAACTATAGGAGGTGGAAATAACATTAAAATATGAAAATTAATGGGTTTCATCTGTAAATATCACTTGAGACTCCTTAAAGAAACATATGAATTGCAAAATAAAAAAAAAGATACCTAATCAGCTTTTTTTTAATGAAACACCCTGTAGTGTATTTTCAGCTCTAGAAAAAGCTTTTTTTTCTGTTCACAATAACACTAATATATAGATTGCTTATGTTCCATTGAGCCATTTTCCAATTATTTAGCTTTAACAATATTGAACCAAAATTGCAAATAACATTTAGATGGCCATGGACACAACAGAATGCCATGGAAACAAGCGTTTCATTTTGTAAAGGAAAAATATGAAATAGTGAGATTGTCTTAGGAAAATAATGCAAAAATTTCAGTAGTGCAGCAAGATTTTGTCAAAAATGGCCTAGAGGAACATTAGCAAACTATATATATATATATTTGTGAGCAGAAGAAAAAGAGCTTTACTAAAGCTGAATATATGCAGGGTGTTTCATTTAAAAATACTGATTTGAACACTTCCCATTTTTTAATTCACATGTATTTTTTTAAGGAGTGCCAAAAGATGGTACAGATGAAACCCTACAACTTTCATATTTGAAGTTTTTTTCCAACTCATATAGTTGAAGCTGTAGGTAGGGGTCAAAATATATGGAGAGACCCTGTACAACAAATTAGTGCAATACAATTATAATATAACAGCAAAAAGTTGAAAAAAAAAATTCAGAATATCTTTTCAGTCCATATTTATTATATTTCAGAGGAAGCATTGATTCAGGTTGAATTAATTCAACAGAAAACTCATTATTTCATACATCTGTCCGCTTTTTGCCCATTTTTTCTTTGTTGATAATAGTATATTATTAAACGAGCGGTAATGTAGGTCATAACTCACGCAGATGAAGTTTGCAGCACGAGCCACAGGCGAGTGCTGTAATTCATCAAGTGAGTTATGACCATTACCGCAAGTTGAATACTATACTTTATCTACGACTATTACAATAAATCCTAAGTTACAAGTACAGAGAAAGAACTTTATTGATAAATCTTGATATACTTAATACAAATTTTAGATTCAATCACTCGCATATTGTTTATTGAAAAAATTAACTGTGAAGTTAACAGGAAACTGAAGGAACTGAATTATGGAAGTTTATTGTTTCTTTTTGTGTTTGTTGCATATATGTTGTTGATGTACTAACTGATTGAGCTGTAATAGAACTGTATATTTTATTTGCAGTATCTGTCTTATTCTTTTCGGAATCATCAACGTACCCCTCAGCCACAGTAGTTGATCGCCAACCGTCATGGCGTTTCAGTGCCGTATGGCATCTATTAATAAAGTTGCCGACGAGCGGCGAAAACAATGCCCTGTATATAAATTACAGTCTGGTAATTTCAGAAATGTGGCAATGTCTTTCCCCATTGCTCAAAATTTTTCGATGCCATTCTTTGTGAGTGATATTTTCCATATGGAAATTCAAATGATAATCCATCTTCACTATCTGAATTCATCAAAAAAATCACAATAATTGTATCAGCCTAGTTTGAAAACGTCAAAATTATTCAATTGACATCACTCTCCTCAATAACAATAATGGACTGTTCCCTTTCGGCCAACTGGCTTGTACAAAAGTACTGAGCCATCTTGATTTTCGGTTCGTAAATAATTCCAAGAGCCTTTCTCGATGTAAGTATTATAGTGAGTTATAGTAGCGAGAGTTATTATAACTCACTCTGTTTGTTTATAGATACTATTAATTGTACAAAGGGAGTTGAATCATTGATATATAATTTAATAGGAGTAGATAAAATACATTGTTCTAGATACTGAATTGAATATAATAAGTATTTGAAGGTTCACAAGCACATTTTCAGCATGTTGAGTTTTCTTGACTTGGTAGGTAGGTAATATAACCAATTGTAATGCAATGTATAGGGTGTTTCAGATTTATGGTAAAAATTTTTGTGCTCCCATTACTCCAATAGAAGATACATCTTTTTTGTTCCATATCTCACCTTTTAAGTCAACACCCTATATCTCGAAAACTCAAGCTCCAAAACATCAAATTTTCATTCTATATTTTCACTAAATTTGTATTTCTTGTGAATAATAAACATATCACATATCAACTGATTTCTACTACTAGATAGTAGTAGGTAGTATATATACAATTAAATACTTGAAACCAAGCTTAATAACCACCGTAAAATTGAACATATGTCTGTACACCATGTGTGAATCTATTGAATATTTCTGATAATGAGATAATGTGAACTGAGAGCATGCCTTAATCAGTGGGCAATGTTTTGAATACATATTATTTTCCAGATATGTGTCATTTATTCTACCCTGGTAAGTTATATAGTGTGATCATCAGGATGATCCAGATTGTTTTATAGGGTGACTGTGAACTTCACGACTTTGAGAGCTGATAGCTCAAAAACAAAAAAAAGATATACAAAATTTGGAAAAATAACTTGATGTTTTCTTCAAAAAAATTTTTTCTTCTTGATTTTATCATATTAACCCATATTTCAAAAGAGCTCTCTCCCAATTTCGAAAATATATACTTTCTACAGGGTGAGTCATTAGTATGGCAAAGTGAGATAACTGCTTTACTATTTGAGATAGATGAATAAAAGTTTCAGAGATGATCTAGGATCATGAGCAGCACATATCCAAATTATTCCGCTTTATACAGGGAAACTCAGAAATGCGTAATGTATTAAAGTTATACTTTTTCTTATGGGAAACCCTGTATTTCATTGTATTTTCGCATTCTCCTTTGTGAGCTGATTTCATCATTGCATCACACTTGGGGTCTAGCGAGAATGATTACAGAGATATAGGGTGTTCAAAATCCAGATTTTTCAACTTAAGGATTTTTTTGCGTCGAAACTATTCATTATTGGTCAAAACGGCTTTCATGTCCCTATCCCAACTTTTGATTTACTATCTACTGATATTTAATTGGAACAGATACAAGGATAATCAGAATGCTGAATCTTGAACCACCCTGTAAATGTGGGTCAATCGTTATACCCAGGTATTTTATGCGATTTGTTGACTCTGCATCAATTATCACCCTGATTATCAAAGGACAATGTTTTGAATGTTGGTAATGATGATGCATAGCTGGCAAATGGCATGAAAAATATTTTTTCAAAATTTATGATCAGTTCCATGTGATTGAACCAATTCATCAGAGATGACAGGTCGTCTTGTGCTTTTTTCTTAAGTTGTGGCTATGAAGTAGCAGTGTATGTGATGGATGTGTCATCAGCTAAACTGTATATTTTTCCATTAGTTTGGTGGTGAGTAGGCTGTTTATATAAATGGAGAACAACAGAGGTCCAAGAACGGTCCCCTGTGGAACTCCGTAGCTAATTTTCTCCTCTGAGCTGAGGCTATTTTCTATTGGAGGATTGATAATTTATTAATTATTGAATAACTAATATTTCTGTAGTTTCCAATCGTATTTCAACATATGGCAACTGTGCTATGGTCTGCCCCTACTCACGAAATCGTGACGTCAGTTTTTACTCGTGGTATTTGAGTAAGTGATTATATTTAAGGAATACAAAAACATAGCCCACTCGCCTATTCTCGAGAAAAAAGTGACGATCATCTCAGTCGATACAGTAATACCCCCTGTTGGTTATCTACTCAACTGAGTCATAGAGCACACCAGTAGTTACAGCTTAGCAGACAATGGATATCACAAATCAACATTTCTCCTACAGTCATGGCCGACTGCCTCACACAATAGGAGTAGAGTTCGGCACCCGGATCATCGAGGTATTCGGACACAAAATCGTTATTGGTCAGATAATCTTCCATTCCTACTCATCAAGCAAGGTTGCCAAGTCACTCATTATAATCGAGTTATCAAAAAGAGGTCTTTGAATGAAACATAATAGGAGGAAGCCATGATATTCATTCATGACTTTTTCGAGTGAATGTTGGAGACTTGGCAACATTGTACTGAATGCTGAGAACTGACAAGGCACCTCCCACAATTCGTGCGCCGTGTTGTCACCTTTACCAGTTCGAATGTCCTCTAGTGTAGATTAATATAATTATTGTTCACACAAATGTATTATAAAAAATAAACCACCACACATGAGGGAATATTTTAAGACAATTGATTCTTTATTGCTAATTAGGAATATTACCAATATATGATTGATTATTTATGAATTATTGAATAACTAATATTTCTGAAGTTCCCTATCGTATTTCAACATATGGCAACTGTGCTATGGTCTGCTCCTACTTACAAAATCGTGACCTCAGTATTCACTCGCGGTAAATTTCTAGCCCTTTGAAAATTACCGTTGCATAATTGATGATTTTAGCACCTTATACTTGACCGAAAAATTCTGAAAAAAATATGGAATTGAAAGGTATTTGAGTGATCATTCTATTTGAGGAATAAAAGCAATAGTCCGCTCGCCTATTCTCGAGAAAAAAGTGTCGATCATTTCAGTCGATACAGTAACACCCCCTGTTGGTCATGTACTCAACTGAGCTATAGAGCACACCAGTGCTTAGCAGGCAATGGATATCACAAACCAACGTTTCTCCCACAGTCATGGCCGACTGCCCTCACACAATAGGAGTGGAGTTCGGCACCCGGATCATCGAGGTCTCCGGACAAAAAATCAAGCTCCAAATCTGGGACACTGCCGGCCAGGAGCGCTTCAGAGCAGTGACCAGGTCGTACTATCGTGGTGCTGCCGGCGCTCTCATGGTCTACGACATCACCAGGAGGTCCACCTACAACCACCTGAGCAGCTGGCTGACGGACACAAGGAACCTGACCAATCCCAGCACGGTGATATTCCTGATAGGGAACAAGTGCGATCTGGAGGGTCAGAGGGACGTCACTTACGAGGAGGCGAGCAAGTTTGCCGAGGAGAACGGGTTGATGTTCGTCGAGGCTAGCGCCAAAACGTGAGTTATGGTTTCTATAAGACCTGTAGGCACAGTATATAGGTCGCGTGCACGATGACCTACCCTTCTATAAGACCTGTAGGCACAGTATATAGGCCGCGTGCACCATGACCGACCCTGGAGGTAAAACATTGAAACATAACCTCACTTTTCTGTAAAACATTGAAACATAACCTCACTTCAAATTACCAACGTGTGCATTCAGGATCTGTCATATATCTTACTCACTCTTACTTCCTGAGCTTAGGTCAGAACTATCGTAAGTGCTGAAACGGAACTTTCCATTCCCCATTATATTGTCTAAAAGTGTGTTTGTTATTTTTGATGTTTTGGGTAACTTTCTATCATAATTATTAGTCTTTGTGTTATGTATGCTTCTTCCATATCACACAGAAACATTATTAGAAATTTAAGTTTGTTACTCTATAAATAATTCCATTATCATTACCGTTGAAGCATTGTATTATTTATACAGTGGATGAAGTATTCTATAATAATTGATTCAGTAGGTCCTATATCCTCCAGTTTCCTGTAAAGACATTTCTACGTACCTATACTGTGCTTATTTTGTTGGCTCATAGAGGGCGCGCGCATGTCCGATTTGAATTTTATATCGTGTTTTGAAGGTATGGTTTTTTGTGAAGTCCTCGGATAGAACAAGCAAAAAAGCTGATGTTCGATTCGTAGGCAATGCTATCGAATTCACTCTTTCATTTTATTTCCAATCAGAGAGACAGGTGTGAAATATTATAGATCCAAAAGTATATCTAATTATAGAGCCAAAACGACCTTTTGCTTCCCCCATTGAGTTGGAGCCACCAGCCTGGTCTAGGTAAGCCCTTTTCTGTAGAAATCTGGAAATTTATAAATTGTTACTCAAGATAAAATGATAGGTATTGTTAGTAGATATAGGCCGAATGTCTTGCTCACGTGTTAAAAATATCCAACGATGATTTTTCATATTCTAGATTAGTATACAGGGTGTATACAGTGAAACATTATATGTTATTCCTCCAAGAAATAAAAAGGATTGTATAGGACCGAACTCCATTTGATTGATTTGATCAGACGCCATACACGACCCTTGTTTTAGTGCATTTTTTTTTTCTATCATGGACATAGTCCTCCAGCCACACACAATTTAAATTTTTCGTTGATATTGTTTTTTGTTATGAATTTGACCAATAGGTGTGTGTTTTTGTCCCCTGTAGTAAGCAATACGTTTATTGATGTCGGTAGGTGAGCACCGACCTTCAAAGAGATTATCTATCACCCATATTTTATTCAAATGATATGGGAAACATCCATGATTTGTTTCCAATCGAGTCATAATAGTGCAGTACTTTTTGCTTTGTGTTCGTGAATATTATTCATTTTATTAGGCAGTTCTTTATGTATTGTAAAATATGAACTATTTGAATTTTCTGTTGTTTCTCTCCGGTAATTGCTCCAATCAATATAAATATTGTTTATGAATTCGTGAAAGAGATCTTTATAACATGGAATGTTGAGGAAGTTATTGCATGAGGTAGCATCTTTTGCAGCTGCATGCAGATTTATTCAATTTGCAGAAAATATACTCCTGGCATTCATTTCGATAATATTCACAAGTGTATGAAAGTATTATTGTAGGTTTATACTATCTCATATGAACTTGGGATTCTGCAGAATGATTCATTGAATGAGATATTTGATGATTTATGTTTCTAATTCCAAGCACCAAGAGACATGACGTGATGTCTCAACTACAGTTTAGGAGTTGTTGCGCATTGTGCAGAAGCGTTTTCAAACGGGTAATTCGGGTGAGATTTTCGGGTTGTTGGGATATAACATAAAGTGGTCTAGATAGTCGTAGTGGTTTCCAGGTAAAAACTCGGATCTATAAACTTCACAACAGCTGTTGCCGGTATGGTTGGATCAATTTATTTCCCATCTTGAGGAATTGATACAAAAACAATCACTATACAGGGTGAGTCATTGAAATGGCAAAGTGAGATAACGGCTTCGCTGATTGAGATAGATGAACAAAAATTGTTTTGATGGTCTAGGCCATGAGCAGCACATTTCCAAAATATTTCGCGCTATACAGGGTGACTAAAAAATGTGTGACGTATCAAAGTTATACTTTTTCTTATGGGACACCCCTATTTCATTGCATTTTCGGATTCTCCTGTGTGAGCTGATTTCATCAATGCATCACACTTGGAGTCTAGCGAGAATGATTACAGAGATATAGGGTGTTCAGAATCTAAATTTTTCAACTTTAGGATTTTTTTGGGTCGAAACTATCCATTATCGGCCAAAACGGCTCTCATGTCCCTGTCTTAACTTTTGATTTACTATCTACTGATATTTAATTTGAACGAATACAGGGTGATTCATAATTCTGAATTTTAAACTATTTCACGTAAAACAAAATGTGAAACATAAACAATGACAACAGCACTGATGGTGGCACTGACAACTGACTTGAAAGTTGACATTATCATTCTAATTGCCATTTATCGGTTTGGAAACTTCATTATTTCAGTCGGCCATGACAGTTTCGGTACAGTGTACGGCAATTCGTGAAATGGCTAGGCATTTTAGGGAATGACAGATTTCACTGTTTGACGCCAACATATACATTGAACTATACACTAACGTAACTGGAACCGATTCTGAAGCATAGAATATTGTGGCAGGGGCAATAGAACGAGAAGGATATAACTGGTGGAGTTGTTGTCTCTCTTTTTGCATTTGTTGATATTCAAGTCTGCAGTTGTGAATGACAATATCCCTACTAATATTATGAATGTGAATGTAAATTTGTTTGTCGGGCATTCACACCAACACTATTCAACAGATAATTATGAAACTTTGTATATGTCGGCGGCAAACAGTGAAATCCGCCATTCTCTGGAATGCCTAGTCATTTCACGCATAGCCGGCAAACAGCGTAACTCTAAATTTCGTACACCGTTTGCCTAATAGTTTCAGGCATTCCCTGTAATGACGGAAGGCAGGTTCATTTAGGCCGAGTGAGCTTAGGTTGTTCAGAAGCAGTAGACTCGTCTGTTCTCTCAAGTAATTTTCTGAAAAATATACTTTTTAGGGAGAAGGTTCATTTAGGTGGAAAAATAGTATCCCTTCTTATGCAAATGCAGAAAGGATATTTTCCTTCAACCCTCCGGCAAACAGAGTAACGGCTGAAAATGGAAGTTACGCTGTTTGCCGACAATACGTGAAATGACAGATTTTACTAATCGACGCCGACATACATATACATATTCTTAGATGTATTAGTAAGAACATAGGATACTCTTTATTAGAAAAAATTTTTACGGAGGGTTTTGTATACTGCACAACCATAATTTCATGCCTCGCGCCATTATTTCAACCTTGGACACAAAATATCCAACAATCAGACGGGAAACTCTATACGTCGGTACCTTAGATATCAATTATTAGAATACGTCTTTTAATTGAGACACAAGTTTTGGATTATTTAGATGATGACATGAGAATGACAAATATCTAACCTAATATCAGGAAGGCACTTCGAAGGTGCAAATTCATTACTGCATGGGAGATAACCTCCAGATTTTTTTGCTATTCAATGACCATGAAATACATTGACGTTTTAGGACTTCTGCAAATCCAAAATGCACGAATTCAATACCACATGAATTAGTCCTTCTAGAGACAGAGGGCAACAAATAACCCAGCGTGAAAAACTTTGCAACTTATGTTTTAGTAAATTATTAATCATTCCAGAATTACGTCATTTGACAGGTCGTTGGAGGGCATACATTGTTTTTTGTCAAGATTCTCATATGAAATCAGAATTTGTGGGATCGTTTTCCTTGGAATCCGAGTTGGAACCTGAAAGAATTTCATAATTTTGTTTGGTGAAACTGTTATTATACAGGGTATGTCACGACGAGGTTACACTATCTCTATATTATGAATCAGTCGGGAGAAATCCATGAAAATATGCATGCTTATATTTTAGAATATGCTCTCTTCATTTAAAATATTTTCAACTATGCAGTATTGCCGCTTCTATCAAGAAGAAGTAACAACTTTGTTATTTCAAATGGACTACCCTGTAGTTTATTGGATTATTAGATTCTCCCTGAAGAGCTGATTTCATCGATACATCACACTTGGGGTCTATCGGAAATGATTACAGATATATAGGGTGTTCAAAATCGAGATTTTTCAACTTTACATTGAATGTGAAGAACCCTATGTTTTAAAGAATTACGAGATTATAGCTGAAGGACTGGGCTAGCGAACAGTGTGATCCGAATTCAAATCGTTCAAAGCAGAAAAAAATTATTCATTTATTCATATTTCAACGGAAGGAAAATTTTGGGGTGCGACGAAATTAGTTTTGCGTAGTTTCAGTTCAATGGGTGTATATGAGTTTTCATTCTATTCGTGGGAGGTTTTCTATGAATGTGACAATTTTTCCTTCTGACAATTCTAGCGGCGATAACGTGGAAGAAGCGTTCCTGGAAACGGCCAAGAAAATCTACCAGAGCATCCAAGATGGCCGTCTGGATTTGAATGCCGCCGAGTCGGGCGTCCAACACAAGCCCTCTCAACCGGGTCGCAACAATCTCTCTAGCGATCAGCAGGCCAGCAAAGACAACTGCGCCTGTTAGTTACATTCGGGAAATGCGCATTATTTTTATGAATTCGGAATCTCTTCAAGGCTTAGTGGCGACTCGGGAATTCAACAGCTTTGGGGGGGAGGGGTCCAGAATGTATGCCCACGATTGCTAAGTAAGTTACTTATCTATTTTCGTTAGATTCTGGTAATTTTGCATCTATCATGTGATGGTTTTGTAAATACTATAGTATCACAATGAAAATAAAGTTAACTTCATTAAGATGTAATTAATTCATTCTCTGACAATGAGAATCTGATCCTTCAAACATTCAAACATTCTATCTACAAGGTATAAGATCACACACCAGTTTTTTTTAAACAAGAGTTTCATAATGAATATCATCTAGAATTCAAATTGATGGCGGGTGTAAACATCATTCAAAAGCATGATTTCCTCAATTGACATTTGACCTTCATTTGATATATTAAATGCTGCTGGTGTGATTGTTCACCAAATATGAAAAAAATGCAAAAATTATATCTCTTGTTGATTTTTTTTGTAGTTAGTCGTTGGAACGTATGTACATACTAACTGGCCATCGACCTTATGAGAGGTCCTTCCTACGTGTGTTCTGTGTAGGTTTTGTTACTAACTCCATACGCCACATCAGGAGTAGCACTGTTAATTGGAACGCAACATGGAATCGTGTGGAATTATCACTGGCCGAGGCTAGGACAATTAGAATTCATAACTCGTTTCATGAACAAAAATTCTCTGCTCTGCCGGGGAACCGAACCTAACAATCTTTCTGTGTTCTGATTGCTAGTCGAGCGTTCCACCACTGCGCTATTCCGCCGTCAACTTTCATGTATTTACTTAATTTTATATTCAAATATTTGTGATTGAAATATATCATGAGTATACAAGGTGTTTTTGAAATAAGTGCACATATTCAGCACATCAATATGATACAGTATAAGGAATATTCCCATGATATCAGATTTTTTCTGATTCTTCTAATTAACGAGAAATTTCATCTCAAAAATTGAACAAAATACGAGAAAAAAAATCAAGTACGCCACTTTAAAACAATTTAAATGATTGAACTCCGCGTGATTGTGCCTACCGCATGGAAATTTGAACAGAGGTGACATCAGATTTGCTACAGTGTAGAACTTTGAGTGGAAAAAGGGGTGTAACCTCAAATTTTATTTTGATCCCTAAATTTTTTTTATTAGTGCCATTCGATAGTACACGTCGAGCTTTCTCAGTGTTTGAAATATTTGCACTTATTACAATGCCACCCTGTATAGTGTCCAATGAAGAGAATTATTAGGCAAGTAGCTGTAATTGACCAAGACAGATGTAAAAAGATTGTGAAATTTCGAAATATCTCGATAAATAGAGGTTTGTTCACATCTTCATTATGAAATTCGTGTTCATGTAACAAAAATACTTTTAGAAAAAAACAACACCACATGACACCTGCAAAATTACCAAATTTCTTACTATAATTTGAAAATGTACTAATGCCAGTCAGGGCCTTCTTGATTTCTGCCACAAGTGGAATAAAAGTGCTCAAAAAACAAGTGGCCGCTTGAAATTTTGACAGTTTTCAAGTTGTGTGTTTTTGTAAAACTGACAGTTTTTTTAATCTGAATGCAACTTGTTATTTTTGTCACCAGTTCAAAACAAAAAAACAATTCACTTTATCACTACCAAATTTTACAAGTCAAATTGAAGATGCGGTCTTTCTGAATGACAACTAAAGATGTTACGTTTGGTTTTCTAGGTGAATTGATAATTGGTTATTTGATTGTTAGACGTAAGATGCGGGTTAAGGGAATCAAGATGTCAGAAGCTGATAAATCGAATTGATTTTGACAGTTCACTATGTGTACTTTATGGGGGAGGGACCGTTTCATCATATGTGATTCCACAAGTGATACAATTTTTGCCGGAAATATTCGGCGATTGTTGCGACAGCTTGTAGCCTAGTAATTTCACGAATGACATTGTTTATCAAAATTATCGAGTCATAGGCGAGAAGTTTTGTTACAATGTCATTGGCGCGAAATTGAAGCAGCAAGCTGGAGTACGTCAATCGATGAATATTTCCAGGAAAAATAGTATCACCAGTTGTATTCCTAGGATTATTTCATGATCGAACCAGACAATAAATGATAATACAGAAATCCGTGCAGTCAAAATTGTTATAAATGTCAAAAATATTATCCCTGGAAAACGAGGTTGGTTGGTTACATGTGGGTCAATTCGGATTATGTATCGGTGTGAAAATGAGCGAATCTGAATGGTTTTCAAGTAGACTAGTTAGTAAAACCTAATGATTGGCCAGAAGCACCTATTGTTATTGGTTGAATCACTGAAATGTCAGATTTTAACATGTGAAATTGTCAAAAATTTCAGTAGCTCACTTCCTCTTTCAGCATTTTAAATTCAAAGTGATGAAATTTAGGATTTCGGGAATCATTGCCCCCCCTACCACAGGTCACCACTTGTTCTTAGCACAACAAAATAATATAATATGTACCCTGTGTTTCACGTTTTGACATAAATGGTAGAAGAACTGTGCAGATCAGATATGGAATTTGTTGTTGACAAGGTTTGAGAAGCTTGAAGGTAACGGCGAATCAAACTCTGATTAGAACTTTTAGTTATTGGGAGGGTTGAATAATTATTGAATATGCCACTGGTGCTTTTGTAAATAAAGATTATCAATATAAATTATTTTTCTCCATTGGACTAGTTATAATTTACATTCCAGCACAGAGCACAGCTATCTAATTTTTACTAATTTGGAAGAAAATTGCCAAAATCATTGAATTTGAAATTACTTTCAGGTTTATTTATTTTAATAACAGAACTTTTATAGACCTGAAAGGAAATGTATAAATATTTTTTCCATTTTGTTTATTTTGTAAAGGCAAAAAACACTTATTCATGTTTTATCAAATAGGTTAATAATTGAAATAATTATTCTGTTTCTATGTAGAGCACTCAATTACAATGAAACATGTATTTTATGAGATTTATTTCAGTTTCATATAGTGTATAGCAGTTTTACCAGTAACTTTAAGGGTATATCCAGCAAGAATTAGATAGTATGAAATCTAGGATCAAATACGTTTTTATTAATTTTGGCAAGATTTTTTGTTTTCAACAAATATATATATGGGTACCTAATTCTTGGGGACGATAGATTTTTTGTTCCAAAATATGATATAAAAATGTATTTGATGCTGGGCAACAGTTGATTAAATAAAAAATATCGTGTACCTATACAAGGTAAACGGAAGTTGCGTCCGAAAGGAAAGATACTTGTATAGTACAAGCATCGATTATTATTTCCACCAGTAACATAGTAAATAGATTATTTCTTATTCTATATATGTGGTGTTTCTCGAATGTCATGTTCACATTGAAGGAGATGATTCATTTGTCAGTTTTAGGACAGAAAATCCAAATAGTTTGCTTAATTTTTTAAAACATGATGGAAGAGATGTTGATTTCTTGTGTTTTTCTTTGTTGGGACGACGTGTATATTAACCTTCAGCCCTAGAGTGATATAATCACCTACTTCATTATGGACATTACTTAAAGGAACCCCATGTATATCTCATGCTTTATATTTGATAAAATTCCGGAATTGTTATTGCAATGTTTTAGTGATTAATGTTTGTATGTGATCTATTTATTATTAATATCATATAAAAATATAAATAGAATTTGAGTTGAGTGGTATTTAATATTCATTTTGTTACTAAAACTTTGCGAATCTTTTTTGCTATAGTAGAAGGATTGCAGGAGGAAAAGATATAACTATATGATTCTATTTATTAATAATCTTTATATACAATTATTTATACAGATAAATATCTCTTAGATAAATGTTATAGTACACAACTTAGACATCAAGTTTAGCTAATGTAAGTAGGGCGCCACAAAAATCCACAAATCCCTTCACATAATCTGCAATTCAGTAACAAAATACACAAAAAAGAACTTGCCAACTTATTTGTGAGCGCCCTTTTTAATAGTATGTACGGACTGCCGCCATTTTGCTAACAAGCGAACCTAGTTCTATTCAACAAGGCCTTCACTAAGTGGCTAATATCCTTGAAGGATTTGACAAAAACAACTGTCGATGTCTAATGTGAACACCCTGTGTTTTGTGAACACGTGAACACTTTTTTCATCAAAAATAGACCAAACAAATGACCAAATGCAAGAAAAATCGAATAATCTGACAACAATGCAATATCACAGTTTGTTCAGCTAGCATTAAGTTCTACAGTTTTCAAAATTCACTATGGAAATAATTCCACCATTATGGTGCTCTGAGAATGCAAAATCAATTTGAAACATCTTTGATGGAAGTTTTATTTCCTGCAAAGAACTTTCAGGATTCGACTACTGTTGATTAATAACACCCTTCCTACAGACAATACGTATTTTGGCTACTAAGATGCTATCCTCAGTCGCCCTGACGAAAATTACCCTCTTGCAAAATGTCTTCCTCAATTTATTCAAAATTCTTCAATGACTTTATTGTCATTGGTCTGATAATAGTTACTGGACTTTGATTACTGTCAGATTATTTCTAACAACCTTCATTCTCGCAATAACAAATTAACTCTTGTATCAAAATCTCGATACTCATCCAGTGTACTTACCATACAAAAAACTGTACTACTTTGTCAAATCCGTTCACTGATTTTATTTTTATTTAAAAAAGTATCGGCTGGCGTTTGCAGCCCGCATAACAGTCTCTAAACATTAAATCATCAAATTGACAACTGATATGGCATGTTATCTACGCACCTAATTGACAGTTATGACTACAGCCTAGATGGCTTCCAACAATAATTGCTACAACACAATCAAATACCCGATCTGGCTGCGTAGACAAAACCATATTATAAGGGTTGAGGAAGAGGACAACAGATAATCACAGGGAAAACCACCGGTCTCGGAAAAATCATCTTGATATTACAGAATGATTCTTAACAGAAAAGACAGATAGACCATGAACTCTTGGCGTCATTGACAGTTAGAATCCGACCACGTTAACCTTGTCACAGCAGGCGGAATGATTTGAATATGCAACGTCACGTGGTGTCCCGAAGTTAACGTGGTCGGACTCTACAAATGTCATTCTTGTCAAAAATGTTTCCCTTCAACTTTTGTAGATCTCAATGTGTTTATCCCTCAACCTCGCGAATTGATATGAAAAATGATATGAAAATCTGAGAACGGGACCGTGAGCAAATGGATTAAAAATTTGTTGCACTCGTTTCATACGAAATATTATTCAATCGCATTATGGACGTTATATTTCATCTGAAATACCTTGAAGGTATTTCATCACTCCAAAGTGAAAAAAAAAAACGAAATGAAATTGGGTTATGTGCATCTTAAAGGCCAGTGCCGTTGACTCATAATGTCCAAAAAACATAACAAAAATATTTGATAGAATAAATATTATTTACCTGTTTACACAGCAAGGGTTCTTTGACAGTTACAGCAATTGGAATGACACAAAAAAAACACAGAACGGACCTCTACACGGAAATATTCTTACTGTCATACATAATATATCAAAGACTGGATCCTTTGGCACTTATTTTAAATATGTTCCATATCTTCTCAACCAGAGTATTCTTCAAGACCAGAAGATGGTGACAAGGGGTGTTTCACGGCTCCTATAATTATTATAACATCACCCCATAAGTGAACATTTGGTCCTTCGAATCGGATAACAGTGGACTGTATATTTTTTCTTCAAAAATCAATTGGGCCACTCTGAAGAATATGGATGGTTTCTATCATTTGACTGTATATTATTTGTTGAATTTACTTCAAGTTTATTTTATACTCAATTGAATTTATCTGAATGTGGAGTCGTGAAACATCCCTTGTAACCAAGCCGAAAGCGTGTTCATTTTGAATAACATACCATCATGATAATGGTTGGTTTGTTATCATGAGATTGAAGTGAAAATAATCTGAGCTGTATGAAAATCTCATGACACGGCAAGCGAAAGGGTTAATATCTGATAAGCCATTTGTTTGGAAACTCATTTGACAAGAATGACGTCACAAGTTTCTCGGTCCATTGCCTTCCATAAATAGTTTCGATAATTACTGGTTCGTTTTTCTTTTTTTAAGTGGTTATATTTGATATCACAATGGAATTGAAAATATTTTTGATTCTTCCAACTGCATGGAGACGATTTTGGAATCATCCTGTAAACAAATCAGGTATCTTGAGTTTATATAAGCTAACTAACATGTTTTCCAGCAGATCGCGCTACTGATTGAGAGGTCAGGTCAAGGTATACTTCTTCTTACTGTATCTTATTTTCTATCTTTGTGAAAATTACTTTGTGTTAATGAATTCGTTCAAAGTATTTCTGGAAATTTTCTAAAAAACAGTTCTTAGTTCTTAGAGCTCTTCATCAAACTTCGGGGAGTTTTGTCTTTGACATAGACCTCACGCTCTAGTAGCGCCAACTGATGTTTGCCCTCGGTTAAGTTACCGCAATAACCGAAGGGAAAATTTTAAAATAGTAGTCTTCTGATGCTCAACACTATACAGGGCGTCAATTAAGCTATAAGTTGTAAATGTTTCGATAGTTCAAATAGACATCAACATATGGTCAACTGACAGAAACTGATTGAGTGATCGTCTTTATTACCCCAAGTAACATAACTTCTTATAATAGGGATACATGAACCAACTATTAGTTGATCTTGAAAAAAATTAAAGGATGAATTGACAATTAAAAAAATTCATTCATATTAGAATCAATTCAAACGTTCGCCTCTTGAAGTTTGGCCATATGCTCAATTAACACCCTGTACATTCAACAGCATATTATTTTTCAGTCACTTTGGCATCAGGTTGTGGAGTTCTTGATCCAAGAATATAAGGATACTCACTATCAAAGTTTTTACATACCGATAAATAAGTTTCAAGTATGTATAAAAAAAACATTTTGTATTCATTCAACAATTCCAAAACATGATATTCACCGACAAAATCAGAAGATCATTAAAAAAATGGTTTTCAGAATGGAATATTTGAAGTAAAACGTCTGCTGGTGGTTTCCCAAACTATTCTACCCACAGTCATTCGTTGTAACATCACTAGCAAACCCTCTTCGCTCTTTAACCAACTGGTTATCAACAGATATGAAATCATCAGAAGGAAATGACTAGTTCAACTAAAATTCCATAACAGGAAATTGGCTACATAATATCGCGCAATTATTGGTCGAAAAACACTTTATGATAAGTTGATGAGCTAGAAGCATATATTATTTAATAACAATTTTCGTATCAACAGTGAGAGGGTGACCCTGCAACAAGTCACAGAGGTGAGATAGCTAAGAATAACAATATGCATTACATATAATTTGTTTATATGTCTTGTGTTCATTTTGAGTTGTGGTTTTTTTAATCTCTAGAAAACCACCCCTCTTTAATTAAATTGTTTATGATTCGACCCCATGACAGCCGGAATCTAGGTCCAGTGTAGTATACAAGAACTGAATGAACATAGAAACGCTTGAATCTTGTTAAAAAAATAGTTCTACTAAAATGAACTGAATACTTTGATAATTTACCATAGATGATATAACTTGAAAATCATCTGAAGGATCTAATTTTGAAGATATGTTAAAGCTGGAAATGTCTCATATATACCTCCTATATTATATATCAAAAAACAGCCAAGACAATCAAAACTGATTTATAAATCTTTTGATATTTTGAAATACAAAATATAAATTTTCCAGCACCACTGAAAACGCTCAAAAACAGCAACATAACCTCACTTTCCTAATGCTTAGTAAAATGACGGTTTTTTTGTCAGAGACATCTGTTTTCAGAATTTACTCACAATCCATGATGATTATAATTAATAATACAGAAAATAAATAAATTCCCTTCATTAAATCACGTATTTAGCTTTGCCAAATCAACTGTAGTGTCTGCTCGCTAAATTTTGATTCATACCTCATTTAAACTTAGATAATATTTTCATAGGTACTTCATAAATATTAAATATGGTTATTGGACCTGAAACGAATCACTCAAGAAAGTACTTTCTCCTCACAGCACAATGATCTTCTATGAACTTAACCACAGCCTTCTTAAACTCCAGAGCTATGCTGAGAGAATTGGCAACGCCACATTGCCAGATCCGAGAGTAAACTTTTTGGCATATCTGAGAGGCAAGTTTTATTTCGTTTCTCGATGACAAACGACTGCTCAAAAATGATAAATTGAATATTACATTCTGAGAAGTCTCCAAAAGACGGATGAATTATATTATAATTATTATATATCAACCGAAACTGACATTGTTGCCAAGTCACCTCAGCACGACGTGGAGATTCAGAAGGTTGTGACTTGACGCAAGGCCAACCACTCCCTACAACTTCGAAAAATCATTTCTGCCCGTAATTGGTGCACGGCAGCCGTCCCTCCCTCAACAAAAAACCCCCTCCGCATACTCTAAACAGTTGTGCAATTGTTTCTCGGCTAGCCGACGACTAAAGCTCTGTCTCTAAATAAGTTTGTGAAAATACCGCCGAGTTCTTATTGGATCCTGATATGCACATTCCAATGATTCGTCCGTTCGATCGTTCTTTTCCTCTTCTCTTCAATTGGAAACGAAAGCCCAACATTCCAACGTCTTGACCACGAAGTCTCTCTTGGGGGTGAGCGGGTCGTTGCCATAGGTCTTGCAAGATTCCGACCTGTATAAAAGTCAATAATGTTATTTTCTTTTACGTTATGGAATACAGTGACCAACGTTGGGAATTTAGTAGCAATCTTTCGAACTAAAATATAGTACGCAATTGTAATAAATCGTACTAGATTCTACAAGTGATGAACAAATATAGGAATTGGGTAGGTTTGAAACAATAACTACTATAACGAAAAATCGAACGTAATAAATAACTTGGTCAATAATAAAAATGTGGAATAAAACAAAATAAATACCTACTTTGACAGAAATAAAGGTGAATTCCTAATTCTCATAGTGAGTAGTGAGCACGCAAAGGTTGGAACAAGTTCATCAAAACTTTGATATGTAGATTATAAAAAAAGCTCAGACACTACAGTTATTGTCTTTTTCAGATGCGAATCCGTTATATTCTTGATGACATCATCATTATAAATTACATTATTATGAATCAAAGAACGTACTAGATTATGGAGGGTTCATCTGTTGTCGTATTAGCGTACTAAGCAAGGTGTAATAGTAATTGAATTTGTACAATTGTAATAGCATCCCCAACGTTGACAGTGACTACCAAAGAGTATGAATAGCTATTCATACTATTCATAAAGTGTGTCCTCATAGGTCAGGCATTTTTTCAAAGGGATATAGAGTTGAAATATTGCCTCAATGAAAGATGCATCATAACGAAGATATTATCTATCTGTCTCCCTACTACCGTTCACGGTAAAATTTGGTTTGACTAGTATTTGAAAAACTTGGTGTATCGTGACGAAGAATATGAAGTTGTCGGTAGACAAAGATAAAGTATTTCTGACGCATGTAGTTGCGCCGAGGAATACTGTGCACACATCAAACTTCAAACGAATGGTGATAACTTCGAACATTTTTCAACATACCAGGAACGTAATAGGGCCAGTTCTGTCGGTGAGTTTTTGAACTAGTAGGAGATCCGGCCACGAAATGATATATGTCCCAAAGAAAAGTATAACATTGTAGTTCATCGAACGGCACCTGTGCCAATCTCTATCCTGAGCAAAATCATCAAAAAACTGCTCTATCCTGAATAAAACGAATCAAAGTGATTCCGGTACGAGCGTCTCACGACACATCCAAGGTCAAATATGTCACTTGTGTCAAGTGGTGCAAAATGTTTTTGAATAGAAGATTCGATTAGCGCGTAGAAGTTGTAGAAGTTATATTTTTTAATTGAGTTCATATTTTATATTTGAAATGGAGGATATAAAAAGGAGGTGTGAATTAATAATAGGTATGTGTGATGCATCAATGTCCCTATCTGAAGAACTGAAGAACAACATCGATATATTCTGAATAATTGCGATAAAATTATAGACAACAATGAATGAAGGAAAGACTATATTCATTTTGAAACAAAGCAAATCATTAATACAAATAGAAAAAAAAGATATAATCGGTAGTCTTTTAAAAAAAACTTATTCTTAGGATTTCTTCATAACCTTTCCATAACAGATATTGTTCTAGATAACGATAGTTTATTGATTTATCAAACATTTATATGCTATTACATTTTTTATTTGTACTAGAATTAATAGTCCCATGTCTAATTGATTTTCTTTGTAAATTAATCCACTTTTCCTTATTGCTACATTTTATTAAAGAGTCATTTTGGTCTTGTACCAAAATGTTGACGAGATAAGTATTACGAAGTTCATTTCAAAAATTGGCGCCAATATTTAGCTTCATACGTAGTGTGTGTGATCTTTGATGTAGTACAATATTCGACCTTGGATGTGCCAAGACGGTTGTGTGGGGAGACGCTTGTATGGGTTGCGTGCAAAAACTGTCAGATGACCGACCCTGGAGGCACAACATTGAAACACAACTTCACTTTTTTTATTTGAGTTTTTCACAATTATTTCGGCATACGAATCGTATTTTTTGGCTATTTATCAATTCGCTCATGCCATCACATTGTGCTGTTGTACAATGCACAAAAACTGCAGCGGAGGACGAAGGAATCCGGTTGGTACATTATGATTTAAAAGTAAGTACCTACTATAGTCACTCACATCATTTTTGAAATTTGGTAATTTCTCTGATTTCTAATCGGAATTCCTTCTGCCATAGGACCTAATAGAAATACACGTGAAATTTCTAAAATAATACAAGAAGATTGGATTCATGCACTCAATCGGGAGGACTGGTCTGACATGCTGACGAAATATGATCGTGTGTGTTGTTAGACATTTTCAATCTATTATTAGCAGCATTGGCTTGTATTGCAAAAGTGGCAGAAGGCAGAAGGAATTTTAATAAGGAATGACAACATTTCATAATGATAACTATGTGAGATTACTATTTACCTGAAACGTCATATTGCTTCGTCTCTCGCTGCATTGTACTACAGCACAATGCGAAGGCATGCTTGCATTAATGAATAGCGCAAAAAAACATGATTCGTATGCCAAAATATTGTGAAAAACTATTTCAATCTTTTGATTCCTCTGTAAATAAATAAAAAAGTGAGGTTGTGTTTGAATAATTCACAGAAGAGTGAGGTTGTGTTTCAATAATTCACAGAAGAGTGAGGTTGTGTTTCAATATTTTGCCTCCCGGGTGCGATTTTACTAAATATACTGCACGCTAGCACAAACCACGCCCACCATAATACGTCATATCTTCAAACATTACCGATATACTCGGAGTCAGCACATCGCACTAAATATACTGTGCTCCAACGCAAGAATACACTTTTTATGATTTTGACACGAATTCGACTGGAGCTCTCTCGTTGTCAATCTCTTGTACACAGTAAATTTATACACCCAAATGGTCTACTGGTTAGCGCTGTCGACTCTCAGTCTGAAGGTCCATTGTTCGAATCGCTGTGAACTTGAACTTTTTTTTGCAACTTTTTTTTTTCACCAATATTTTTTTACTTCATTCTGGTTTTCCTTTTTCATAAAATATTTGAAGTCAAATAGGTTAGTGCGTTTAGGATAAACAGTCTCATTTTATTCAATTTTGTTGAAGAACTCAACTTTGGAAATATATTATTAATCAATGTGTTTCTACATCACTCCATTCGGTTTTCCTTCCTCCAAAATATTGCTATCAGGGATAGGTTAGTTCGTTGAGGATAAATAGTCTCTGAGTTTTGCCTAAGTAAAGTTCTTTGAAGATGAGATATAACGGTGGGCGTGGTTTGTGCTAGCGTACAGTATATATTTAGTAAAATCGCCTCCCGGGTCGGTCATCATGCACGAGACCTATTCCGGTGGCGGAATCCGATAAATAAAACGCAACTAATGGCGCTTACCTGCCGATGTAGAGGTCGCCGTCGAGCCACAGGCCGAACTTGCCGTCGCCCGCGCCGATGCTGAGGCTCTCGTTGTTGCCCTTGATGAAGTAGAGGTTCTCGCCGGTCCAATTGAAGACCTTGAAGTCGGGCGTGAAGGAGAACAGCAACGACTCGCCGGTGCCGTAAAAGTGGTCGGACACGTGCAGGGCACATGACGTCAGCGCACCGAACACCTGTAAATTTTTCGTAAAATTTGTGGAAATTTTTATATCGCTACTCCGAAGTCAAAATTCGCGTGAGGTTAGGAAGAACGGGACCTACAACTGAAGGATTCCGAACCACTTCTAGATCGCGGAGTTGTTGCCAAGATTGCAATCAATAATCACACATTTTCAAGAAAAATGCTCAGCCAAGCCGAATTTGGGCGCCTAGGACCGCTTGGTTACCGTACCACAAGTCATTCTGATGGGTTTTCTCATTCATCTACAATCATCGAGTCATTCATGCACTGTAGACTCGATTTTCAACAGTTAATGACGGTCATAGTTGTGGTGAATCCACTGACATAAACTACTATCTAGACTGTTGATGCCATAAGAAAGAAGCTATGCTACCTCAGACTGAACAACATTAATTAATCATTATAAAGTATACGCCAAGAATATCCTTCATACCAAACACGAATAGATGAATGATATCGCGAATGGTAGGGATAAGGTCCAATTGAAGACCTTGAAGTAGGGCGTGAAAAACACAAAAACGTAATCCATTTAAATCAGTTGAAGCGGAATAATCCATGCACAGTAATATAATAAACTCAATTCGATTCGAAAACTAACAAGAGCCATAGCACTGAAAACAATGACAATAACTGCGACAGAAGGTGGTGGGGGTAAAGTTCCAAGTTTTTTGTGACAAAACAGACATTCAGGCCTTCAAATACGCAAAATTGTATATTCAACTTAGACCATGCTAATCGCCTATATTATTAATGTGTGGAAGATGCATCAATGTTAAAAGAAAATGCATATGATGGCATGCTATAATCTGCCGTCGTCTACCTGTTAGTTGGCGTTGCTATCTATAACATAATCCATTCAGAAGCGATCAAAAAGTTGGTTCGGTAATCATGAACCTTGTCCTAATGATTACAGGGTTCATATGACTCTACTATAATCTGCCGACGCCTACCTGTTGGATGGCGTTGCTATCATATGTTCAATAGCCTTCAAAAGCGATCGAAATGTTGATTCGGTTATCCTGAACCTTGGTCTGATGATTTCAGGGTGCATAATGAAGACCTACTATAATCTGCCGCTGCCTACCTGTTAGTTAGCGTTTTGGCGTTCCTATCAAATGTTCAATAGCTTTCAAAAGCGATCAAGTTGGTTCGGTAATCATGAACCTTGTCCTAATGATTGCAGGATCATATGATGACCTTCTTGTTAATTGGCATTGCTATCAAATGTTCAATAGCTTTCGAAACCGATCGAGAAAAATGTATATACTCACGTTATTGTCCGTATCCTCGATCACCATCAGCACCGGCGACTCCAGCTTGTACATCTTCCTGTACATCGAATTGAGGCTGAAGCCGTGCTGGCTGGTGCTGAACACCAGCGTCCAAGCGTACCCCTCGGCCCTGGCCGGCAGATGGCGGCACAGGCACTCGCGATGCCGGTCGGTGAGGATCTCTGTGGCGCCGACTAGGTCGGGCGGGCCGAGATCGAGGTCCAGAGAGGGGGCGGCCGACGAGTAGAACGCCCTGCGGAACTCCTCGGACATGGGCAGGATCTGGGGGCGGGGCGGAAGAATGGAGGTCGTGAACGTTAGGGGTATTCGGGGTGGAAAAATGTAGGGTGTCTCGAACATCTTATTTTTAACGCCATTTGAAGAGTGAGGACAAGCTTGTCACCACTTATATTTCTCAGATTTGATACGTCACTTCTGAAAATTGATTAGGCGTCCCCGCAAAAATGCTTACACTCATAGGCGACTGAATTTAAGATCGTAGCGCCAAAGCGGCAGGTTGTGGAACTATAAGGAAAAAAACTTCACAAACGATAAGATTTCCATGAAATTCTCAAAAACACAACATGTTTCGCTAACACAGTAGCTTCGTCAGGTGATATACTGGTTCGAAGAACTAAACTCTTTCAAGTTAATCCGGTACGCCGTATTTTAATGTAGATAGTGTGCCTAATTTCCGAAAATGGAGGTTTATTGAACCTGTCCACAGGTAACTAATCCTTCAGGTTGGGAAAGTAGGCTATATGAGCAAGCCAAGGTTAGTTTAGTTCATCGTACCGCAGTTTATCACCTGACGAAGCTACTGTGTTAGCGAAACATGTCGTTTGAGAATTTTTTGGAAATCTCATCGTTTGTCAAGTTTTTTCATTTTCCATGGATTTCCATCAAGTAACGGCCGAGTCAATTCAAAATATAAGAAAGTACATTATTTTGAAATTGTTCATTTGTTTGACAAACGTCAAATAGTGAAAAAATTGTAGTTTTTTATTGAAGGTTTCGTGTGCGCATTCTTGAAAGAGCGTGAAATGAGATGTTCGAGACACTAGCTAAATTGAGGCTTAGTAGAATATGATTGAATAGGATTGGAATCAACTGATCAGACTTTGATAAAACAGCGCCAGAACAAAACTACGACTGCTCAGACACATCGAAAATAAGTTAGGTTGTTTGACATTTGTCAAAACAAGGTGTCACAATCGATTGAATTCTTTGAGCGAATAACTTCGCTTTATTGTTCACGAAATTGTATTGCCGATCTTCGAATAGAATCTTCAAGATAGTAAGTTTCTGAATATGGGTTTGCTATAACTGTTTTGCTAATTAAGTTTTATCAAAGCAATTTCTGGAATGTCCTGATTGAGAGCTTCGAAATCCATTAACTCCACTAAGAAAATCTCATAGATGAAAAAAATTCATCAACATCGGATGTGTTACATAAATATATTATAAGATATAATATTGACTGAACTGGTTGAAATATAATGCTTACCTATTCCAATACTCATTAAACTTCAAATATATCGATGAAAACGCATCCAAATACGAAATGGAATCAACGTGAATGGTAAGCTGCAGTGAATATAAATCATTATTTCCAAAATATTATTGTTTTTCAAGTATTTGCCAAAAACTCGCATGTATTTTCGAAATTGATAATCTGAGAGACAGACAGATTAATAATTAAACTCTTAAATCACAACGAAAAACATACCGGTACAAATTCATCGAATAATAACGCCTTTAAGCTTCACCAACTAGGGTTATTCTTTAAGCCAATTCAAATAATAACAATTAAATTTCCTTACCTAAGCATCAAACATATTTTCGTTGCCACTTTCTTTTTAGTTCATAAAGAAATCCGGATGTATACATTTTCGATTATACCAACTCATCGATGTTCACGTATTCTGTTGAAACAATCTGATAATTCATATTGAATGAGCTTAAAATGGCGAGATTGTTGATATACGAGCAAATACTGTATGAAAACAGGCTTAAGGAATACGTATTTCAACTATTCAATCACTTCACTAGTCCTCCATTTACCATTGTTGCTTAAAATTATTACTAATGTAAATTCTAGCTTCCTCAGGAGACAGTTTCTTGGGTACCTACTGGGGTTTCCTGGAGTACCTACGAACTAATTTGAAAATATTTGCATACAGACAAAAATCATGACGGATAAGTTGTCAGAAGTGGAATTGAAAAGTAATCATTGTACAAAGTGTTACACCTACTAACATTTCGATTGATTTGTTAGAACTCTTGGTATTGAATATTTGAAATATGACTCAACGAAACACTTGATTTTTTGAGAACTATTTTTTAATTAATTATGAAAATATTTAGATTCAGTAGTTATATTTGCTAACAGCTAGTTATCTATGCAAAAGCGCCAACTGATTTTATATCAATTTCATTAATCAACATGGAAAAAAATGAAACCGGTTGTCTCTACCCAATTTCACCATTATAGTCGCAAATCGTAAATCATAAGTTTTAAGGAATGAGACATTGAATCATGCATGAATCCTAAGAAACACCTAATCGTAATAATAATATATCTCATTGGTTGTTTTTGCGCAATGCCATTTCCATTTTATGATACTCAAATTCGTGATATAACCTCACAAAATTATCATATGAATTTTCCTGTTTATTCAAAACCCGAACCTAGTTACCTATTCCCTATGATCATATAACAATTTGTTTCTAATGGCTGGTTTCTGGTAATCAGTACAGTAGACAGGTACAATATATCAATATATATTGTACCTGTTTTTGAATAAAAGGAATACACAAAATAGAATTGCTTTATAATGGAATTTTTCTGTTATCCTTTATCCCATAATATAATTACTGGCATCTTATATGCAGTTGATTTTGGTACATAAACTCATAGACACAAATAACACGCATGTGCTGTCTGATGAGTGATGAATCGCGAACGCTGATCGTAATAGTTGAATTCATGAGAAGTATGACTTATGTCTTACGACTTGTGCAAAAATGTTCCGATATGAATCTGAATCATTTAATTTTTTTACGATTTGCGACTAAGACTTGCGATCACGGTCGCTGCTTATTTCCACCATTGAGATGGAATTAGGGCGGATTTATGCACATCGCTTTTTCACTAATATGTTGCTTTCATTAACTGCCATTAGGTTTATTTTTTTTGTAAAATTTCACGTATAATGCGATGGTTTTTTTTCGAAAAATTTTTTTGGTACTTCCGTATTTTTGTCTGAAAATACACGAATTGGATAACGAAAATGTGAACAAACCACTATTTATCGAGATATTTCAAGAAAAAGTTCAGAATTTCGCCTTCTTTTTCCCCCTGTGTTGGATGCATTTACAGCATACTTGCTCTTCTTATTTTTTCATTGGACACTTTATATACTCATGATGTACTTCAATGACACATTTTTATATAGAAAATTCAACACGAAATATGATTTTTATGGCAAGTTTTTCATATTTAGTGAACAATCATACCAGATGACGGCCATTTTCAATCCAAATACGATATTTCAAATGTCAACATATCGCTTTCCAATAACATTACACACGCCATTATTTTAAATGATATTCTTCGTTTTCTTTTCACTAAATATGGATAAATCGCAACAAAATCATATTTATAGTTGACTCATATAAGGGGAAAAAGTGTGATTGAAGTACATTGTGATATATAAATTGTCCAATGATGAAAAAAGAAAGGCAAATTGTTCAAAATGCGATGAAAAAAAAAAAACGGGCAGACAAGGTGAAATTTGTAACTTCCCGAATAAAATATTTGTTTTATAACATTCAGTGATCACGTAATTACAATTAGAATCATTCATTCATATTGATTTCAGAGTCTAATTTGAACACACGACTTCAAATTTCTGAATTTTCAACTACATCAAGAAAGAGGAAGAATTGACAGAATCACGCCTGCGCAAGTCATAGTTTTATCTGTATTTGTGGTCAAGAGATAAAAGTTGGTCATCTCTTAGGAATTGTTAATGAAAGGTAAAATTCAATTTAGGTGCATAAATGAATGAATGAACTGGAATGTCAAGTTTTAACTTTATTAGTGGAATCGTTAATGATTGTGAAACTACACATTAATGAAAATGCGGTGTGCATAAATCCGCTTTTAATTTTATTATTAGTATTGCAAATATGATATTTTATTTTCAACTCAATAGTTAGCATCAAAACATGAACTTTTTTCTAATGTAATAATAATAATCAAACAATCGTTACATCAATCTTAGCTGAAAAATTACCTGATGACGTTCATCTCTACTCGCAGTAATTTTGCCTTTTCTCTTCCACTTTCTGATGAACTCGCGAAACTTCATACGACTATTATGCATTTTTGTCTCGAGAGAAAAAAAAATATGTTCACCTCGCGATATTGGCGTGTTATTTTTGAACCGGTTCCAAAAAACAGCACTGTAAATCGTAAAATCAATTAATGTTTCAGTGCCAAAAACCGTCACTGGCTATGTTCGAACTAAACTAAACACAAAACATCCATGTCATCTAATAAAGCCACTACTGTGTATTGGTATGTATGGGAGACAAGAAGTAATATCTATTAATAGGATTATGAGATTAAAGGTATGACAGAAATCTGGTAGTATCAACTTGCACATCCTACTCTAAATACCCATTAGCGCAGGCTCATTTTTTTTACAGATAGGAAGGAGTTTTCCTAATCTGAAAATAATTACTATGATTATATGTCTGTATCTGTTCCAATGACCCACTGAGTAACACTAAGATATGCAATGCTAGAACAAATAATAGAAACTCATTCTGAACAAACTCCTATGCCATTGATTTACATAATATTGATAACGAAGGAAGATGATGACAATCAACAATGTATGATACATTTTTTTTTAATAATTTTATGCATATATCGAAGACTGGAACCTTTGGCACGATAATACACTACACTGTTTTACCACTAACCAAACCGATTTTTTAACGTCTCGACACGTGTTTCGCTAACTATGTTAGCATCTTCAGGAGAAGATTAAAACTAAATATCCTATTCTAGTGTACTGCTTATATACTAAGTATATGTTCACCCAACTGTGAAAAATACTAACTGTCAAGTTAATGTTTGTCATGGTTGAGTTCACATGTTAATCTTAATTTTTATTTCACTAAACTATATAGAGGGCTATATGGAATAGGTCCATTATCTTTATTCATTACTCTATTACTATTCTTAAATATCTCTAAGCTTTCATATGCGTCTAGTTTTCTAATGTTATTAACTTGCTTAACTAATTTGAGGTTAGTAATATGTGTGTTATGATTGTGATTGAACATATGTTCGGCTACACAAGATTTATCTAACCTGCCATATTTTAAATGGGCTATGTGTTCTTTGAACCTTGTTTTTATGGGTCGCCTGGTTTGGCCTATATATGTTTTATCACAATCATTACAACTTATTTCGTATATTCCCGACTTTTCAAGTGTGTCCACTTTATCACAAGTTTAAATTTTCTAGTACACAGATTGATTTCATTTCCTCTCAGCAAAGAAAGATTCAATGCTGAAAGAAATGTTGTTTATAAAGTGGCTGGCGTCAATGGGTATGATATCAAAATAGTAGATAAATTAATACGTAGACATAAATTTAAGTTAACACTTCGATATTCTACGACTTTTCAAGCGGATAAAAAGAACTCTAGAAGAATCCCAATCCCGTACAATCCCAAGTATACGAAGGGACTTGATGAGGTTTTCAAAGACTTAGGTTTTGAAAGCGTTTATCAGTCTGGGTCAAAATTAGGCAATTTATTAGGCAATCCGAAAGATAAAGTGGACACACTTGAAAAGTCGGGAATATACGAAATAAGTTGTAATGATTGTGATAAAACATATATAGGCCAAACCAGGCGACCCATAAAAACAAGGTTCAAAGAACACATAGCCCATTTAAAATATGGCAGGTTAGATAAATCTTGTGTAGCCGAACATATGTTCAATCACAATCATAACACACATATTACTAACCTCAAATTAGTTAAGCAAGTTAATAACATTAGAAAACTAGACGCATATGAAAGCTTAGAGATATTTAAGAATAGTAATAGAGTAATGAATAAAGATAATGGACCTATTCCATATAGCCCTCTATATAGTTTAGTGAAATAAAAATTAAGATTAACATGTGAACTCAACCATGACAAACATTAACTTGACAGTTAGTATTTTTCACAGTTGGGTGAACATATACTTAGTATATAAGCAGTACACTAGAATAGGATATTTAGTTTTAATCTTCTCCTGAAGATGCTAACATAGTTAGCGAAACACGTGTCGAGACGTTAAAAAATCGGTTTGGTTAGTGGTAAAACAGTGTAGTGTAATTTTATGCAGTTTGTCCTTTGGATCACTCAATTCGTCAATGAAAGTATTTAAGTAGATCAGGATATCTTTCAGATTCAATATTTTTGACGATTTTCAGAAATGCCTTCTCTCTCCGAAAAATGAATCATGTGCACGGCCTTGAATATGGCATATTTTTTATTTTCCAAGGCATTTTCCCTCATTTCTTGCGACGCCTATGCTTATTGTTTAGGGTATTATAAACGCATGTTTCCAAAATGTGAAGATGAAAATAGAAATATGTCATATACCTGCTGCCAGGCTATCACGTCCCCTTGTAAATCTTCATTTGTGATAATGAATGCTATTATTGGACAATAATTACTTGTTGTTATACCCAAGTTATAAGAAAGACTATGATGTTATTATTGAATAGTAATTACCTGTTACTACAGATAGTAGCGCAGATGAGGTCATGAATACTTTTTATTTGTAATGATCATTGTACTGGATGTCTTTCTATATTTTGACACCTATATAGTGTCCTACATAGATTATTATAAACCCTTGACTACTAACGTTCCAAATATATAACGTTGTCACTAACTATACGTCTCACAGACGGGACTATTTAAATGTCCATATAAATCCAAAATTTTTTATTTTATCATCTACCATTGTTGTTCATTTTATGAACATTTGTAGTAATTACTTTGAGTTTCTATTTTATTTTATTCAACAAAGAAATGTTTGAACTGAACGAATTCTCAGGGGTCTCAGGTCTTGACCACTTTAGTTTGATATGCAATGTAAACTACCAGCGAAATGGGACATGGCATAGAGGGAAAACATACGTAAGATCATCGAGAAAATATATAGATTTGTACATAGAGTGTGGCTAATTGTGGTGTTTGTGCGTGAGTCAAGTCACCTCATCGCTGCCGTCCGCCGACATTGTCTGCGTCTTGATGATGCTGTAGATCTTAACATAGGGGGCCTTGATCAGCTGCATCGTCAAACACAACCAAATGTTTATTTATTAACTTCTTCTCGATACCACATAACCTACTGTCTACATTTAGAACTTTCGATTTCATTATTTCCAGAGCTAAAATAATCAACAAATATATTATAACTCATTATATTTGAATCTCTGACTCAGCATATCGACATTATTTAAATGATGAAAAAAAAAGGGAGGCATTCTCCTTTCAATTCGCATGATTTGAAATATTCGACGTTTGGTATCTAGTAGTACTAGGAAATACTTACGGAAGTACTTATTTGTTTCAAGTTGGGAATTACAAATATTTCAAAAACTTTTTTTTGTTAGTTTGTTTTAATATGCGACTTTTGTTTACACTTCAAATGTAAAATGGTGGATATGAATACTTGTCAATGATGTAAAATAGTGTACACTTATTGTGAGATTTCATATGACCTTGACCTTTAGTTATAATAACAAATGTCATAACTGATGCAACCATGTGTTCCATGGCTACCATTTTGACAAATAAATTATCAACTATAAGTCATCACTATGCTTCTTGCTTAAAGATAGTTAATGAGTGAGATGAGTATTTTGCATACGACGTTTTGTATGACATTATTTCATTATAATTCCCAAAATGTGTCAAATAATATAAAAATTCTGGAGTGAAACCAAATAATCCTAGAAAAAAATATTCAATATGTTACCATTCAGGTATTCTAGTCTTATCTACTCAAGAAACTTACAATGACGAAAAAAATCAACAATAAAAAATGCTCAGACTCACATGGAACGGGGGAAAACATTCTGAGAATTATGTATTTTATTTTAGCTCTGTCAATATTGCAACTCATTTGAATTACAAGTGAAAAGCAAAAATAAAGGCATAGTCTCGGTCGTATATCATGGAAGTTTGTCAATTGAACAAAGTAAACTAAAACACTGAAAAATAGATATAAAAATGGTTGTCTTTTCACCTGAAATGAAATTAAATTTGAGATTCGAGTCATACCCACTAAAACTTTAGGAATTTGAAAGAAAAAATTGATAACACTCACAGATGAAATGTTTCAATCTATAGTCTTAAGTTTCACCTATTCAATATTTCATAACACTTCAATTTTCGATTTCTCATAGAGACACCTTTACTTTTGTTCACTGAATATTGTTCAATTGAAATTTTCGATAAACTCACCTCCCAACTTTCTTTGGTTAATTCAGTTATTTCGCCATCTTGACTTCCATGACGGCTAGCCGATGGGGTAGGTTCCTCGCTCCATAGTTCTGTGTCCATTTCCACTAATACAAAACCCCTTTCTTTGATCTGTAAAAAAAAATAAAGTTACCATCTGGGGCAATTCATCTTAGAGTAAAATAGCATTCAATCAGCTCCACCACAACTATTCAAAGCTCCGTCATCAGCAATAAAAGTTACATACGAGCACTGAAGTGATGAAAAATTGTGTCGGACAAACCTACCAAGAATAAATGGATCAGAGAAAACTCACTTGCTATGGGGAACATTATTTTCACAATAATTGTGGATCACTTGAATCAAAATTTGTTCGTTGATTTGTCTGACATAGTTTGTTCTTTACTGCAGTGTTGGTATGTAACCTTTATTGCTGATGATGAAGCTTTGAAGCTTCTAAACGTCCCTCCTTTTTTTGATAAATTGAAGTATAGTTATGTTGGAGCTGAAATAAAGTAGCTTCTCAATGAACCAATTTTCCTTTATACCTAATGTTATTAAATTCACCAGTAGTTATTAAACGAAAAGCACAATATGAAATCATTCTCTCAACGATGGTTGATAGTATAATTTATTGAGATTTTAATTATATTCGAGGAATATTATCGAGTCAAGTCATACAATTCGTTTGATAAACACGTTTCACGTTTATTGGTCATTATGTGATAAACAATCAATGTTTTTTAAATAACATTAATTTTTGTCTGAAAATAGCATGACCCAATGAATGTTCTAAATTGCTAATATGTAGGAGCACTTATAAATACATCAGTTAAAAACTGGGTTTCGAATTAATCTCAGTAAAATGCAATGGTGATTAGGATTGCCAAAGAGACAAATTATCTAGGATGTTTGTGTAATGAACAATTGCTGTGATCAAATAATGGTTTCCCAGGATACGCCCTCTCATTGTGGAAGAATTTAAAGGTTAAATAAAATCAGTGTATGTATTTACGCCGTATTATCTAAGATGCCCGAATGAAAATATCTCCCAGTAGACTGAAATTGAATGTTGGCAATCACACTGGCATCGGAAAGTCGTTGTATCGTCTTACGAAGCTTCCTAGTTGTTCTCCCAACTACAAAAATGAAATTATTTAATTGTCGCTTCAAAAGTATGACAAAAATTCAAGACGACTAATCGGAATTCAATGAACCCATAGAGAAAGAATAAGTAAGCGAAAATCCAAAATTTCCCAAAATAACATGGTATTGTTCTGATGCTCTGAAGTGCTCATTTTGACAATAAATATCTCGAAAAATATATTAATTTTAGCGAACTGCTCGAGGTCTTAATCGATTCAGGAAGGTCTGCTCACAAAATGTATAAGAAAATTCATTATTATTATCCTTTTCTCTCTTTTATTACTCTTTTTCGAAGTATTTTTTATTGTTTAGAATTTAGATCATGTTTATCCGAGAAGATATCGAGAGAAAATTGCAGTTATGGTAATTTTTGAGGTGAAGAGTTTTCAATTGAAAATTAGTTCAACATAAACAAATCTGGAGAGTGAGTTTGTTTTACGTCCAGAATTTTTCATCCAAACAATCGAACCAATAATAAGGTTTATTCAGATTACCTCCTAAATATCCAATTGTTCATCAAGGTCATGGAGGGCCCTATTTCATCTTTTGGATCGCACGAAAAAGAATCCCTTTTATGTTCGTGCACTCCTGGGATGGGATGGAATGAAAAATTAGGCAACTGAACCTTAAATTATCCAGCTCAATCTTCAATATGCGAATACACTCGGAACATTATACTTTTCTCTATTTCAATCCCATCTCAATTATGGGATTGTTCTCTGGAGTAACTCATCGGCACCACTTACAGTTTTTCGACAACAAAAAAAAGCAATTACTGAGAAACCTGCCAATTACTATTCAGAAAATTGGATGTCATGACCCTCCCTTCACTACATATTTGGAATACTGTACCTGAAATTCATAAAAATGTTTCTTCCATGACTACACAATCAGATATACATAATTATGACACCAGATAAATCGTTTAGTATACGTGTCCCGAGATATAATCTCACAAAATCTCAAAAAAAAACTTTCAATTATACTCTCTTCAACATTCTCCCTGTAGAAGTCAGAAATTCGAGTACATTTTATTTCAAAAAAACAATGAAAGTATTTCTGCTCGAAAATTCCACCTATTCCATCGAAGAATATGTGGAATGTGTGAAGGAAGGTATACCCACTGAATCACAGAAAATTAACTTTATTGATGCCTGATTTATACCAATTTTATTTTCATTGACCTTTTAATTACTTGATAAATGTATGATTTCATACACTTAAATTGATTACTGTAATTTTTCCATTTATATACATATATACAGGGTGTTTCAAAAAAACCTAACCCCCTTGCTAGGGTAGGTAGAACATTGCAAAATAAGTTGGGTTTGCTCAGTAAAAAAATGTCGTAACGCCATCCGTTTTCAAGATACAAGGTGTTAAAAACATATTTTTTTTACACATTTTTTACGATTATGTTGAAACTACTGGCAACATTGTAATGAAATTTTGTATGGATGTGTTTCAAAAGCTGACACATCGCATGAATTTGTTTTTATATCTGACACTCATAGAGGGCGCGTAACTACGGTTCGTACCGAGTACTTTTAAACATAACTTTTTTGAGGTTAGATTTTTCAGTATAAATTTAATGTGAACTTGAAAATCATTCAATTTTACAATAAAAAGGTGCTCTTGGTAAAACTTGATACTGTGTACCGTTTCTCTCGATTTGTAAATGCTGAAGTATAACACTGATGCTAGTTGAAAGTACGTATTATAAAAGACTAATAATACCTATTTATTAATAACCACGTCAAGAGCTGCAAGAAAGAATTGAACATCACTTCGATGATCTCATAGCTGATCCTCAACCGTTGAGAAGATTGATGCATTCTTTAGAAAAAAGGATCGAATTGTGTATTCGTGAAAACGGAGGACATTTTGGGCACTTACTCTTACTAGATGATGTTTTTAGTCAAATTTAATTAAATATTTTTTGTTATGTTTTGTTTAATCGATAACTTCTAACTAACTAACTGCCTTAATGAATAGAAAATGGTTTTTTATAATACTTATTCTAATACAAGAAGCAGAGTTATTCAGCATTTTCAAATCGAAATATTTCGAAAACGGTACACAGTATCGTGTTTTACCAAGAGCATCATTTTGGTGCAAAATTGAATGATGTTCAAGTTCACATTGAATTTGGACTGAAAAATCTAACCTCAAAAAAGTTATGTTCAAAAGTACACGGTACGAACCGTGTAACTAGCGCCCTCTATGAGTGTCAGATATAAAAACAAACTCATGCGGTGTGTCAGCTTTCAGAACACATCCATACAAAATCTCATCACAATGTTGCCAGTAGTTTCGACATAATCGTAAAAAATGTGTAAAAAAAATATTTTTTCAACACCTTGTATCTTGAAAACGAATGCCGATACGACATTCTTTTACTGAGCAAACCCAACTTATTTTGCAATGTTCTACCTACCCTAGCAAGGGGGTTAGGTTTTTTTGAAACACCCTGTATACACTTTTTTGTAATTGTTACTTGTTGTAAATGAATTGTATACATATCATGACCAATAAATCTAAGTATATTACATTATTTTCTCTACATAAATCAGCGAAAAACCCAACAATGAGAACAATTACTCTTATGAATTTCAGATTTATCGGACATATTTGATGAAGGAGGATATGAAACGAGTTTATAATAATTGTGTCAACCAAATTATTCCATTATCGTCTGCGTGTGACATTGACTAGCTAGTCATACAATATGTATGTACACTAAACAGTGTGGGACACTAGGGCTTCCGAGTTATATTTCTTGAGTTTCAAGATAGCTTGGAATGATGTGACCGAAGAGTCAATGAACCCTGAATATTTTTCAAATATATACAGCTCAGGTGCCTTCGGAATGCCTTATACAGGGTGTATCTAAATAACGCCGGAAAAATTCAAGTGGTGGTTCCTTGTCATATTCTAGCAAATATGTATCCTGACTTGCTCCGTTTTTGAGATACAGGATGTTGAGGTTGGAAGTATCAATTGTTTTTATTTCTAACCCCACCTGTATAAGCTTCCATGGTGCCAAATTTCAGTATGATTGGAGACAGAGAAAGCCCCAAAATTTCAAAATGATTGTAATTGGAGTCATTGAGTAATATCTCAATGAAAGTCTTGAAAACACCTACAGCCAAATCGAATTTTTATTGTTTCCTCAAAAACTAAGCTAGATACAAAAATCACACAAGGGATAAAAAAGTTGTTATTTAAATAGTTCAACCTAATGAAAATATTAAACTCAGAAAAAACGGTGGCGTACAATGACATTCACCATAAATATCGATAAATTTATCCACTGAGAAGCCACTGGAAATATTATTTCGAATTTCACAAGAAGCTCTATGTTACTATCAACAAAACCACAACGTTTTGACAATTGAGTAATGAATAAAAAAAAACGATCTTTCATCTGTATCTCAAAAACGAAGCAAGTTAAGGCACATGTTCATATGAACTTTATTTCCTAAAATATCACAAGGAATAACCCCTTGAATTGCACTGTATATCAGTATATTCTTTTTTACCTACTTGTTTGAAGCCTTATTTCACTCAGAGTTTCACTCCTATCAATCAATCAATCATTTATTGGGCATCAACACTTCACAGTTTCACAGCGATATGACTTCGGGCAGAAATAAAAAAAAATTGAAATAGGAGGAACATGTTATACAATAATATGCACAATGTGTACCATCAGTGACTGTATTTACAGAGAGACTTGTACAATGTACCATGTCGCACATGGACGAAGATTGAACTCTTGATTACTTCTGTAATAAAAACGCTGACCACGTCCAATCACGATATGTCATTTGGAGAGGACTGTACTCACATGTCGTAACAGAAAAACAAATTAACTCTTTCGAACTGATGAGAAAAAAAAAATTAATGCCTTCTGCAGATGCGTATTGTAAATATTACTGCAGCTACAATTATTGTGGATTAAAAAAAAATAATATCGATACTGG